TGCATTCACGTGGAATCCACCCTAATAGCCAAATCTGTCCGAAATAGATTTTGCCAGACGCCTGCTGCAGGAGTTGATGACAAACTGATGTCAAAATTAATACAGATTCTGCAATATCAGATGATGTCGGCAGAATGCCAGTAGCATTGAAACAGAATATGTTACAGAGGCTTGATATCAGATTGATGTCAACATTTGAACATATTCTGTTAATCAGCCTGACGGCAGATTGACGACAGAAAGGAAACAGATCCTGCTGTCCGCAATCTGACGACAGATTGCTAACAGAAACGAAACAGATGCTGCCGTGCGCAGTCTGATGGCAGATTGTTTGCAGAATTCAAACAAACGCGGTTTAATACTATGACGGCAGATTGGCGGCAGAAACGTAACAGATCCTGATGAACGCAGTCTGACGGCAGAAATACAACAGAATCTGCTGTGCGCAGTCTGGCATCAGAATGACGGCAGAAACGTAACAGATCCTGCCGCCCACAGTCTGACAACAGACTGGTGACAGAAATACAGCAGATTCTGCAGTGCGCAGTCTGGCACCAGGATGACGGCCGAAACGTAACAAATCCTGCCGTTTACAGCCTGACAGCAGACTGGTGACAGAAACGACAGATTCTGCCATATTCGTTTTTACATTCCCCCTTCCCCCTTCCCATTCAGTCATACACATTACGTGAAGGTAATTATTAAAAAGCAACACAATATACGAACGTAATTGTTTTTATTTATCGCACAAGGCAAAACGAGACAGCTAGTCAGATTCACAATGATGTTTACCGTAAATAGTGGAACACGAAGGCGACGATTCCTCTTAAATCCTCAGGAAGCGGCGACACACGATGACTTCGAGACGATGTTGGAAGAATTGATAATAGGGTTTGTGAACGGTGAAGTGGCAATCTGCTGCGATATCTTGATTGAAATAAATTGAAATTAAGTAAATTGAAATTATATTACAGTTACATCTTTCTAACTACAGTTATGTATAATATATGTTTAAGTAAATACATGAATTAAAAGTTACATTGTACGGGTATTAATGTCACAATTTCCCACAGTAAATATAATACATGTGTCGTATTCATAGTGGAATAGCAAATTGTAGCATCGTACATTGTAACTCTTAATAATTACTGGGATGAGACAGGAAAATCAGAGAAATCTAGATAAAAATATTTACCTGTGTCTCTTGCATTCTTCGGTAATGGATTCGTCGATCCTCCGTGACATCTGTGATGACCTAAACATGAAAAATGTCCGGAAGACACCGTAAAGTCGGCACAGAGTACCAATTGTCTATGCTCAGAAGTCGAAATTATTTGCCCGTTTCAACCGATTTTTTAGAACTATACCTATTTCTCTTGTCTCTCCGTTCGTCCAAAGGTCCCTACAAGTGACGGTCACGCCGCCCAGGCATAAGCTGTCATGTATCATTTGTAGGGATCTTCGGAAAGAAAGGAGAAGAGAAGTAGGCGTAGACATAAAAAATCAATCAGAGTCTTTCATTTCTATTGCCACGCTTGAAGTGGAAGACTCTGATTGATTCATTTCCTTATGCGTTAGGCAATATGCCTTTATGCAAAAGTATGTGCTTCCCGCATTACTTGCCCGCTTTAGCCGATTTTTTAAGAGAAATAGGCGTAATTCTTAAAAATCGATTGAAACGGGCAAATAATTTCGACTTCTGGGCATAGACAATTGGTACTCTGTGCCGACTTTACGGTGTCTTCCGGACATTTTTCATGTTTAGATCATCACGGAGGATCGACGAATCCATTACCGAAGAATGCAAGAGACATAGGTAAATATTTTTATCTGGATTTTCCCGTCTCATCCCAATAATTATTAAGAGTTACAATGTACGATGCTACAATTTGCTATGCCACTATGAATACGACACATGTATTGTATTTACTGTGGGAAATTGTGACATTAATACTCGTACAATGTAACTTTTAATTCATGTATTTACTTAAACATATATTATACATAACTGTAGTTAGAAAGATGCAACTGTAATATAATTTCAATTTACAGATATCGCAGCAGATTGCCGCTTTACCGTTCACAAACCCTACTATCAGTTACTCCAATATCGTCTTGAAGTCATCGTGTCGTCGCTTCCTAAGACTATGAAAAAAACATCGTCGCTTTCGTGTTCCATCATTTACGGTAAACATCATTGTGAATCTGACTAGCTGTCTCGTTTTGTCTTGTGCGATAAATAAAAACAATTACGTTCGTATATTGTGTTGCTTTTTAATAATTACCTTCACGTAATGTGTATGACTGAATGGGAAGGGGGAAGGGGGAATGTAAAAACGAATATGGCAGAATCTGTCGTTTCTGTCATCAGTCTGCTGTCAGGCTGTGAACGGCAGGATTTGTTACGTTTCGGCCGTCATCCTGGTGCCAGACTGCGCACTGCAGAATCTGCTGTATTTCTGTCACCAGTCTGTTGTCAGACTGTGGGCAGCAGGATCTGTTACGTTTCTGCCGTCATTTTGGTGCCAGACTGCGCACAGCAGGATCTGCTACATTTCTGCCGTCAATCTGCTACCAGACTACGTACGTCAGGATCTGTTACATTTCTGCCGTCATTCTGGTACCAGCTTGCATACGTTAGGATCTGTTACGTTTCTGCCGTCATTCTGGTGTCAGCTTGCATACGTCAGGATCTGTTACGTTTCTGCCGTCATTCTGGCGCCAGACTGCGCACGGCAGGATCTGCTACATTTCTGCCGTCAATCTGCCGCCAGACTGCGTATGTCAGGATCTGCTTTGTTTCTGGCATCAGTCTGCCGTCAAATAATGTTTGCAGACTCTGCCGTCAGAATGCGGGCACAATTGATAAACAGTTGGCACCAATCTGCTGTAAACTTCTGATTCATTCTGCCGTCAGTCTGCTGAAATATTGCTATTAGGGCACAAAACCACATGAATTTCACGTGGACACAACGTTTCTATTTTCCTGGAGATATCCGCACTTATACTATTTAAACGTTTAAGAAAACTTGTATATTATACAATACTCACATAGAGAAAAATTGCTTTAGGTTTAATATTCTTGTTCGATTTTGAGTTGTTTCATTAAAATATATTTTTACAATATTATTTTTAGAAATAAAAACTTTATTTCATTGAAAAAAACCATGTTGATAGAAGGATTTGAGATAATATTTTTCAAAAGCTTTTTTTAGATTTAGTAATTAAAATTTTTATTTAAACTTCCTTGAATTTGTTTCAAATTATTTCTTTTGTGGGTTAACCATTATAATACTCCATTATTAGTAATTTTGAAACATAGTCTATACTGATATTCGTCACATATCGAATGTTGTTGCGTTGTCTTAATTTTTGACATGAAAGATTATAATGCTCTGTGAATATTATGAGGATACATTATTATTATATAAGCACAAGTCACAAGAACATCGTTAGTCATTGCGATAACTGCGTGCCACTCGACTATCAGGTTAAGCAAAGCCTAGAATGGTCAGCACATGGAGGGGTGCCGTTTGGAATCGAAGCATATTTATTGTTGCTTGTGGCATATTTATTATTGTTTGTGACATATTTGTTACTGTTTGTAGTGTATTTGTTATCATGTGTTGCATATTTGCTAGTGTATTTTCCATGTTAGCCATTCTAAAAACATAACAGTTTTCACGTGCAAATATATAATTACAAGATTAAAATTTACTCATATACCCAGATAGCCAAATCTGTTCTGCCAAATAAAGCCACAGATTTGCTTACAAGATTTGTTGGCAAATTTAGTACAAATTTGGAATAAACCTTGTTTTATCAAAGAATGTCCACAAACTGGTAGCATTTATGTAGCAAAGTTTGCGCACATAACATGATACCAAATTGACGCCAAGTAACACGCAACGCTTGCTACCAAAATTGACAGCAAATTGGCGTCAAACATCGAGCACAACTTGAGTACGCCACTTGATGCCAAATTAATGCCAAATACCGAGCAAACTTCGGCGACAATACTCCACAGCAAATTGATGCCAAATACAGAGCAAAGCTTGGCGATAAAACCCTACAGTAAATTGACGCCAAATACCGAGCAAAGCTTGGCGAAAAAACCTTGCAGCAAGTTGACGTCAAATACCGAGCAAAGCTTAGTGACAAAATTCCACAGCAAATTGGCGCCAAATATCGAGCAGATTCTGCCACATTCATTTACTACACCCCTCCCAACCCTTCAACCAGGTAGCTTAAGTTCAAGTAAAGCAAGGAGTACAGATTTTGGCCAAGTATATAATGTACAATGCAAAAGCAAATGAATTTATTAGAATCATTCATCGTTTACGTACAGCTGGAAATGACTTCTGATAATGCATTTGCTTGTCAATTATATATTATGCACGAATCTGTGTTCCCCGCTTAATTATTAAGTAAAATCAAATATGTTAATAAATTTTTATTAATATTTTACAAATTTATTATACTTAATGATTTATTATTAATGTAACAATTTTTTAAATTTGTTACAATGTCGAAAATACACTAAAATATAAGGCTAATATTACATTTGTCGTACGACAATCTTTTCGAATAGTTGATTAGTCAACAAACAGAATATTTCTAGGATTGCTTCGCGTACGCCAATCAATGTATCCGAAAAGCTTGTCGTACGATACATGTAATATTAGCCTAAGTTGGCACTAAAAAGTGCCGATTCAGATATTGGCATTCAAAAATGCCTTTTATTGCACTGAGGTGTTCCCGTTATGTTTTAAAAATAGGCGCTGAAAAGTACCGATTTACTCCTCTCTCTTCGAGAAGAGAACGTGTGGTATGTGCGTGCGTGTGTATGTGTGTCTGTGTGTGTGTGTGCGCGCGCGCGTGTGTGTGTATGCGTGTGTGTGCGTGCATGTTGCACCCTCCTCTCTCCCTCTCCCTCTCCCTCTCTCTCTCTCTCTCTCTCTCTCTCTCTCTCTCTCTCTCTCTCTCTCTCTCTCTCTCTCTCTCTCTCTCTCTCTCTCTCTCGACCTCCTGTGACCATGAGTGTTGTCTTCGACCTCATCCTCGTCCCATGCATCTGTAAATTTAGAAATTTTTTATATATTTTAATATATATGACGGACGCGATTAATAGATGAGGTCAAATAAAATACAGGGAACGAAAATGAAAAATTGATGAATATATAACTTTACTACCAGTAATCAGTGAGGAATGATCCCTGCTATAAATGCTTTGCTACATTTCTCTCTTACATGACCCTATTTCTGTATTATTTCATGAATGTAGGCATTTTTCAGTGATATTCAATATATACATATTAAACAACATATCGTGAAATGTATTGAATATTACAGAAAACTGTATACATTGGCTGCGTTCAGAAGAACAAAATGATCAGTGAACGGTTAGTGATTCTTGCTCCTGATTGGCAAATACTTCTGGGCCTATGAAAAATATAAAAGAATGCTCCAGTCACAGACAAAATAATCACTAAGCGCTCACTGATCACTTTGTTCTGCTGAACGCAGCCATTAACGAAATAATATTGAAATTGCGTCATATGTGAGGGAGAAATTCAGCTAAATATTTCCAGCAGATGTATCATTCCTCACTGTTCAGATACCACACAATATTTACAAGATATTTTAAAAACATAGATGTTGGATATATTATAAATATTCTAATGTCTGAGATTTTTAACTATGGAAAAAATATGATAAATATCTAAAAATATTTATGATATTGTTCATACATCTTTTATAAATCGGAATTCTTTTTATAAACATACGTATGACAAACATGTTTAAATATTTATCATACCCTTTTCATGCCTGAAAATGTCGGACATTAGAATATTTACGAAATATTCAACATCTATATTTTCACAATATCTTGTAAATATTGCGTGTTTATTCAACAGTGCTATATACCTTATATCGGGTCTTGCTGGTCCTGCTCCTCTTCCTCGTCTGCACGCTCGTCGCTCCATAAGTCGCGCTATATCCTTGGGCAGGCTGCCGTTCTACGTTGATTACGTCTTCTGTGGCGGTGTCGTTCCTTCGCTGTCCGAAGAGCGTCTTGCATCTGTATTAGAGATGTCGATATCGAAAAAAAATATCACATTTGAATACATTCGCCAAATTTAAAAGTACTCATATCGATATCGAATAAGCAGTCAAAATATCGAATAAATGTCGAATAATTCGGTAGCCAATAAGAACCCAGCAAACACAATAAGCCTGTTCGTTTTGTCTGCACTGCTGAACTGATGCATTAAGTTAAAGTGAGACAAACGTAGGTTTTCTCACTTCAACTTGTTGCACCAGTTCAACAGTGCAGACAAAACGAACAGGCCTAATATTACATGTAACGTGCATGTTAGTTGTAATTTTCTACTCAACAACTGTTATTGTTGAGTAGGAAATTACTACTAACATGCACGTTATATGTAATATTGGCTGCGTTCAGTAGAACAAAATGATCATTGAGCGCTTAGTGATTGTCTGTGACTGGAGCATTCTTTTAGATCCTTCATAGACCCAGGAGTATTTACCAATCAGGAGTCAGAATCACTAAGTGCTCACTAATCACTTTGTTCTGCTGAACGCAGACAATCAGAATGTAACATTTCTAGTATGTCACTAAAACTAGCATGAAAACAAGCACCGTGTGCTACTGACTTTAGCTTTATATTTAAAAAATCACTTTTAAAAAAATATTCAATAAATATTCGCTGAAAAATATATTTATTCGATTTTTATTCATATATTTTCTATTCGATATTTGTATATCGAAAATAAAAATAATATCGAATATTCGATAATTTCGAATATCGATAAACATCTCTAATCTGTATTTAGAACTCGGAACGTTGAGGCCACTGAAATATTCTCGAAAGCAATGTCGTTTTGCGGCTGGAATTTCTTTTTCGCATAATTCATACACCTATGTTTTGCTTTTCGGTATCTTGTGAAAAGTAATTTTGTATCCTCGTGTACAGATATTGTGTATGTGAATAATATCTGTTTTACCTATTCATGTATTCATATTCTTAACCTCTTTTTCACGACAAGTGTCAACAGCAAATGTGAAAAAGTCCTTTGAGAAGGGCATATATAACCACCACTTTCTAAATAAAAGGGCAATGGTAAGACAATTACATAAGATTATGTTGTTATCATTTGATACAGGCACATAGTTTTACTTACAGATGGAAGAACGACCAAAGCGTATAATTACAAAGCCAACAAGCTACCAGACATCATCAGACGAGGCTCCTCCAATATGCAAACAGGCTGCACCTGTGCCAAGCACCACGGCAGGAAGCATCGAAGAGGACATCTTAGATATACGGGCCACCCTGGACAAGAATGCAAACGATATACATTTATTTACTAATACTACACAAAACATATCATCGCGCACACACGCATATAATTCCACACACATTACTCCCACAGCATCTGTCCACCCAGCACAAGACACACCGATTCATACTTCTCACACTACATGTACACCTCACGAAAATGAACACATGTACTACACTAATGATACATATACTGAGTTGCAGGGTACTTCGCGCCCATGGACAACGCAGGGACACACGCAGCATCAGTTCCATCAGGAGCGTCTATCTTACGAGCAGTACGAAGAGCGGCTACCTTATGGCCAATATGCACGAATAACACAGAAGGCGGACAATCGGTATGTCTTTGTGCGTATTTAAAAATATAACAGTAACGAAAATTGTAAAAGAACATTTATAAAAACGTTATTTTTGTGCACAGGGAGAACAACGATCGTTGGGAGCGCATGGAAAAGAGACTTACGTGAGTATGTACTATATACTGACAAAATAATTTTTAAAATTATCTTTTTACCCTTTCTTCACAGGAAGATGGCCTCAACGTTCCGAGTTCCAAATATAGATGCAAGACGCTCTTCGGACAGCGAAGGAACGATACCGCCATAGAAGACGTAATCAACGTAGAACGGCAGCCTGCCCAAGGATATAGCGCGACTTATGGAGCGACGAGCGTGCAGACGAGGAAGAGGAGCAGGACCAGCAAGACCCGATATAAGGTATATAGCACTGTTGAATAAACACGCAATATTTACAAGATATTGTGAAAATATAGATGTTGAATATTTCGTAAATATTCTAATGTCCGACATTTTCAGGCATGAAAAGGGTATGATAAATATCTAAACATGTTTGTCATACGTATGTTTATAAAAAGAATTCCGATTTATAAAAGATGTATGAACAATATCATAAATACTTTTAGATATTTATCATATTTTTTCCATAGTTAAAAATCTCAGACATTAGAATATTTATTAATATATCCAACATCTATGTTTTTAAAATATCTTGTAAATATTGTGTGGTATCTGAACAGTGAGGAATGATACATCTGCTGGAAATATTTAGCTGAATTTCTCCCTCACATATGACGCAATTTCAATATTATTTCGTTAATGGCTGCGTTCAGCAGAACAAAGTGATCAGTGAGCGCTTAGTGATTATTTTGTCTGTGACTGGAGCATTCTTTTATATTTTTCATAGGCCCAGAAGTATTTGCCAATCAGGAGCGAGAATCACTAACCGTTCACTGATCATTTTGTTCTTCTGAACGCAGCCAATGTATACAGTTTTCTGTAATATTCAACACATTTCACGATATGTTGTTTAATATGTATATATTGAATATCACTGAAAAATGCCTACATTCATGAAATAATACAGAAATAGGGTCATGTAAGAGAGAAATGTAGCAAAGCATTTACAGCAGGGATCATTCCTCACTGATTACTGGTAGTAAAGTTATATGTTCATCAATTTTTCATTTTCGTTCCCTGTATTTTATTTGACCTCATCTATTAATCGCGTCCGTCATATATATTAAAATATATAAAAAATTTCTAAATTTACAGATGCATGGGACGAGGATGAGGTCGAAGACAACACTCATGGTCGCAGGAGGTCGAGAGAGAGAGAGAGAGAGAGAGAGAGAGAGAGAGAGAGAGAGAGAGAGAGAGAGGGAGAGGGAGAGAGGAGGGTGCAACATGCACGCACACACACGCATACACACACACGCGCGCGCGCACACACACACACAGACACACATACACACGCACGCACATACCACACGTTCTCTTCTCGAAGAGAGAGGAGTAAATCGGTACTTTTCAGCGCCTATTTTTAAAACATAACGGGAACACCTCAGTGCAATAAAAGGCATTTTTGAATGCCAATATCTGAATCGGCACTTTTTAGTGCCAACTTAGGCTAATATTACATGTATCGTACGACAAGCTTTTCGGATACATTGATTGGCGTACGCGAAGCAATCCTAGAAATATTCTGTTTGTTGACTAATCAACTATTCGAAAAGATTGTCGTACGACAAATGTAATATTAGCCTTATATTTTAGTGTATTTTCGACATTGTAACAAATTTGAAAAATTGTTACATTAATAATAAATCATTAAGTATAATAAATTTGTAAAATATTAATAAAAATTTATTAACATATTTGATTTTACTTAATAATTAAGCGGGGAACACAGATTCGTGCATAATATATAATTGACAAGCAAATGCATTATCAGAAGTCATTTCCAGCTGTACGTAAACGATGAATGATTCTAATAAATTCATTTGCTTTTGCATTGTACATTATATACTTGGCCAAAATCTGTACTCCTTGCTTTACTTGAACTTAAGCTACCTGGTTGAAGGGTTGGGAGGGGTGTAGTAAATGAATGTGGCAGAATCTGCTCGATATTTGGCGCCAATTTGCTGTGGAATTTTGTCACTAAGCTTTGCTCGGTATTTGGCGTCAATTTGTTGTAGGGTTTTATCGCCAAGCTTTGCTCGGTATTTGGCGTCAATTTGCTGTGGAGTATTGTCGCCGAAGTTTGCTCGGTATTTGGTGACAATTTGGTGTGATGTTTTGTCCGCAAGCCTTGCTGGGATCTTGGCGCCAATTTGCTGTGGAGTTTTGTCAGCCAGTCTTGCTCATTATTTGGCGCCAATTTTCTATATAGTTTTGTCAGCAAGCCTTGCTCATTATTTGGCCCCAATTTGGCATCAGAATATGTATACAAGCTTTGCTAGCAAATTCCGATGCTATTGAGGACACAGGTGGCACCGGATTTGACAGCAAACTTTGTACAAGTTTGGTGCCAATTTGGCGACAATTTGCTACCAAATTGTTTGCTGGGTATTTACTTAAATATTTACTTATTTACAAAATATTGACACTAATAGCTTGCTGTCTGTGCTGCAGGAAATATTGTTGGAACACTGTTTTCTTTTAACCGACCACATGATAATCCTACTCGTATAATACAATCCCTTGCAAAGTGTAGACTGCATACTTTACTGGAGGTTTTAATATTTACCACATGTTCTTCACTTTGACCAGCAGCACGAAAAATCTGTACCCACTGATGTCTTAGCACCGGATTTGATGGAAATCTCTTTAATAATAATAATCATATTGAAACATTTATTGACCAGTTTGACAGTAATATATCACGAAGAACTATGTAATATTTTTATAAAATAATGTTTAAAATTTATTGTAAATTATAAGACACTTTTCCGCACAATGTATGACACTACGTTACAAATAGTTAACATAACTTACTTAAAAAATTGTAATAGTTCCTCCTCTTCTTTATTTATTTTCTTGTAGGTTGACGAATTGCAACCTTACACATAACAGTACACAATCATTGTAAAATACGCATATATAAATTTTCTTTCTTGCTTTTCCTCAGATCAGTAGCTTGAGCATTAAACTGTTGAACATAGATTTTCTATTACACAATGTCATCGAAGTACCAGAATTAGCCACTTCACGTTGAGAGTTATCCTCTGGGGGCGCTTTTCATGTTGATTACAGCGTAAACAGGCCAACTAGCAGTCCATATTTATATAGTCAAAGCAGAGAGAAGCCTGAGAGCGGGCATGGCTGCATTTACAGCCCCAGTAAGCAAAATGCTAACAGAATGCGCGCAAATTGATGTCAATTTCGATCAGATCTCCATATCAAAACCATAGCCATCTGTGTCCTCATTAGGCTCGTGTTTTGTCGACAGGACCTATGTGACAGGCCGTGCGAGCAGATTGTCGGCAGAAACTGCGCAGGTTCTGCTGCCAAACTACACATAGAGTCTGCGCGTAGAGATTTCTCGGTTTCTGCCGCCAATCTGCCGTCAAATTATTGCAAGTCTTACGCGGTTTTTGATAGAAATCTGCCGTCAAATATCTGACAACAGGATCTGGCGCATATTTGACCGCAGATTGGCGGCATAATTTGATATAACGGATTTTGCGTTAAACTTGTTGCCTATTTGCCATCAAACTATGATAGCAGGCTTTGTTCGAAATCTGCTCGCGCAGGTTTGGCTATTTGGGGCGTTATCGAAAAGTTGGCTGATTCGAAGCACTAACTGGGTCCATTTTTCATGGACATGAACTACTAAGCCAATGTCCACGATTTGTTGTACTATTCCGTGCTATGTCCATAATTATTTGGTTCTGTTCTGTGCTATGTTCACGAGCGAGCTAGATTAGTTAGATAAAAACGAAGCATGGGTCTTTGTCTCACCACGAATAGACAATCGCGACGAAGCGAGCCAGCAGCGATGTCATCGTAAGGCAGACGTCGCCGTCTCCCCTTTCACTCCCTTGTTTTCCTTTCCACATTGTTTTATATTCATAATTCGGGAAGAAAATAATTTCGAGAGTTCGGACGATTTCTAGCAATGACGCGACAGAGATAACACGCGGCCACATTAATTTGTCATGACTTTTATATTACTTATAATTATATAAACGCCCATATATGCAAATTATAGATAATTATTGCGCGTATGTTTTAATATTGTACAATATGGTATATAATAACACCAACTTCATTTCTTGCAGTAATTTTTTAAGATCTTCGTTGAGGTCATGAATTAATTTTTTTCTCCATCAATCAGTTTTCTGCAAAAATTAAGATTTTTTAAATAAAATATAAAATGTTTCTCTTCTCTTCTCTTCGAAGAGTTACTTAAAAAATATGTACTCCACAAAGGCAACTAAAAAATGTGTAGTCAGAAGAGTCAATTTAAAAGTGTACTCCGAAAAGTCAATTTAATAGCGTATTCCGAAGAGTCAATTTGAAAGCATACTGAAAAATCAAATTAATATTGTAATCCGAAAAGTCAATTTATAATAGAATATTTACTTCGATTATTCAGCTAAAGAAAAAAATATTTATTATATTCAGAGAATAATATTTAATTTATTATTTATATTTATCTTACTTATGCTTACCCTACATATGCTTCTTTGAATGACAAATTTAATTTGTTGACTGATTCAGATTCAGATTTGTTAAAATATCTCATGCACAACTCTTGAACAGGTAGGTAGTAAAATAATGTTCTTTCTTTACGAATTTTATAAACTTTTCACGAACATAAAAATTGAAAGATTCTCAGAGAATAAATAACTTTTCTTGAACATTTAAACCAAAGGAAAATCTTTTCCCATTAATAAAGAATGAATAATTAATATCTCACACAAGAGGAATCTTCATCC